CATGATATAAAACATTTCTCTCAACTGAAGCAGAGTGATCTAAAACTAACCTACTGTGAGGAGCTGTTAGGATTTTACCGCCAATGGTTATGCAGGCATAGCTAGATTCTACTGCACGGTTTCACGACAGAAACATTTCAGGTAATTTTTTTTCTTTTTTTCACATCTGTTTCAAAATTATCAGAGAAGGCATTGTCTAAATCAATATATTATATTTTAATTTTTAAATTAAAATGTTTCTCTTTTCATAGTTTTCTCTCTGGTCCATCATGATTTTAAACCCTGATGGGGCTACATAAAAACTTTGAAAAAGAAGTATTCTCAAGGACACAGCTATCATTATTCTTTGCACTACTGTAAGACAAATGTCTTTGTCTTGTGTCCCCAATTTGGAAAAAAACATTTGTTTATATCATCATTAGGCATAGAGTATTTATACTCAGGCATGTCTATACATTTACATAACACAGAAAAGGAAATGCAGATGCTACACAAATGGAGGAGTTTAAAACTCCTTTGTGTACTTAGTGGAATTAGTTGCTATAAATTAGCAGGGGACAGAAAGACAATCTCTGTGGACTCTGAATGGAAGAGTCTCACATGGCATGTAAAGGGAGTTTAGAGTCTGAGACCCTTCCCCTTGCTCAGAATCAGAGGAAAAGTAAGGAAGTGAATATTCTTGACAAAAACATACAATGTATACCTATATTCTATCATACTATAATCTATAAGCTTTGTCCTGGAAGGAAAGAAGGAAAAGTCAACAAAACATTTTCAATGTTAGAATTAAAAAAAATAGTTTTTTAGGGAGAGAAACTTCATAATTTTCTTACCAGCGAAACACTAGCATATATACACAGTTTTATTTCTGTTGTGTTTAATCTGGTCTTTTAAATTTTGGAAATAACTGTGCTTTGCTTAATTGGACAAAAGTTAATTGGACAAATCATAATAATCATAATAATCCTATGTATACATAGGTGTGTGTGCGCATATGTGATTCCCTAACCATTCTCAGGGGAGGAAAACTGGGATTTCCTTGTTTTGCAAGGAAAAGTGTCTTGATTTCTACCACGTGACCCCCTACTTCAACGTTCTCTTTTTTCCCATCCCATCCCCACAGGATGTTATGCCTCCTCTGAACTTTCTTCAGTTGAATGCCCCGTCATTCCTGCCTCATCGGTTTGTGAACAGTCTTACTCACAGATACAGAGTAGACACTGAAATAGGAATTCCACAACAAAGCAAAATTATATCCTTCACAATTAATTTGACCTTAGAGAGTTTTCAAAAATAAACCAAATCAGCCTATCAAGGTGATAATAATAACAGAATACTCCCTTTAGTGATGAAAAAGAAAGTAAAACACAAAATAAGTAGTGTTTTTAAACAAATAATATAGATTTATATTCATGCATTATTTTCATTAGCTCATGAGTAAGAGTGCATATTGTTAAAACAGCGTAAGTGTTGCAGAGCATCTGCCTTCAAATTTCCTGAATAAACATATGACAATAGCATACTGTGCAACTTTTCTCAGAGCTGCATAAACTATAACTTGTACTACATACTGTCAAGGTGCAAAGGTACAAGGAAAACCAACATATTTACAGCATTTCAAGTTAATATTCTGTGAGAGTTGTAATAAATCAGAGAGGAAAATATTAAATATACTACAAAACAGCCTTCCACAGTAAAGTATGGATTAGTTGTGTCCTAAATGATAAAAGAATAACCATTCATATTTTATAAGCATGTGGCTCTGTTGACATTTAGTACAAAAAATGTGCAGTACAACTGGCTCTGTCAGTGATAAAACAGACTCAAATGTAGCCAATGCGATAGAATATTATTTTAATGAATGGCATTCTTTCTGGAATATTAGATTTTTGGTTTGACTACTAAAGGTGATGTGTAACTCTTCAACTGCATAGTCAATGTAAAGCAGCATAAATTCCCTGTGGCACAGATCCATAATTTCAGCAAGAGACAAGGGTAATTCCTACCAACCTGTAAACTGAAGGGATATGGGCTTCTGGCAGCAAAGGCAATAACTGATTTACATCATTTCTTATAGGCATCTCAACTCAACCAAAGGTTCCAAAGCCAGATTAGAATGTGAGTGAAGACCACATGATACTTTAAGTCATGCCTGGCTTGTGAACATTTACATGGAAATCTGTCTCTGGAAACTTTACTATCATCCTTCCTATTACA